GATTCAAACCCACCACCTTAGGTGTATATGGCTGGCGCTTTAGCCACTTGAGCCACAGGCGCCAAGCCACCAGTAACAACTTAATACTTATAATGACTCATTAGCACAGGCAATAATGGAAAATATCTTTCAGCCACTTGATTGTTTCAAATTTCTATTACCTTCAGAGAAATAAGCATCTTTACTTTAGTACCTAAAATTATGAAGCATCTGACATTATCGAGGGCCTAAGTATTTTTCATATTTTTTTGAGAAAGAGTCTCACTTCATCACCCTCTGTAGAATACCATAACATCATAGCTCACAGTAACCTCAAACTATTGGGCTCAATGTGATTCTCTTGCCTCACCCTCCCTGGTAACTGGGACTACAGGCTCCCAGTATAATGCCTGGATATTTTTAAAATATGGTCTTGCTTTTGCTCAGGCTGGTCTTGAACTCCTAAGCTCAGGCAATCCACCCACCTTGACCTCCCAGAGTGGTAGGATTACAGGCATGAGCCACTGCACGTGGCCTAAGTTTCATACGTCATTTCATTTATCATTCAAAACCTTTAATTATTATCAGTTAAAGCTAAGAAAATAGAGTTTATGTCTATCTACCACAGTTCTCTCAAGAACTTAAATAAGTTGTCCAAAGTCACACGGCTTTTAATAACAGAACCTTCCTTGATCTCTTTGGTGATATTCTCACAGTTAAAGAAAAGTGTAGTACTTCTGTCACTCATACTCATCTTTCAAAATCAGCATAAATGTTACCTCCCCAATCGTCGCATGGGTGCCCCATCACACTACAGTATGTCACCATGTCATTTTGATCATTCAACTGTATAATAAATTTAACTGTATACCCCACTTTATAGTAATTTTTCTTTGTAATAGACTCTTCAATTAGATCATGAACTCTTCAGAGTCAGAGAGCTTATCCTATTCATCTTTACCAACAGTTCCGCATTGCAAAAATAGGTGCTCATAAATGTTAAGGGTAATAAATGAACAAATGTGACATCTATAGTAAATCTTACTTTTCTCCTCAACAAATCCTAAGGTTACAGAAATCCATCTCCCATCTTCACAGTTGTCAGATGAAAGAAATACAAAGTTTTATATAGTAACACAAAAATACAGAACAAATATCAAATAGGAAACCAAAGCCTTGAACTATACTTTACCATCTATCAGTATTATACCACTGGGCAAAATAATCAGCATAAAATGATAGGTCAAAGATAGGTTAACATGCATTTTTTTTTTTTTTTTTTTGAGACAGAACCTCAAGCTGTTGCCCTGGGTAGAGTGCTATGGTATCACAGCTCACAGCAACCTCCAACTCCTGGGCTTGAGTGCTTCTCTTGCCTCAGCCTCCCAAGTAGGTGGGACTACAGACACCCACCACAGGGCCCAGCTATTTTTTGGTTGTAGTTGTCACTGTTGTTTGGCAGGCCCGGGCTGGATTCAAACTCGCCAGCTCTGGTGTATGTGGCTGGCGCCTTAGCCACTTGCGCTATAGGTGCTGAGCCTAACATGCAATTCTCATGCAGTAATCTGTTCGTAATGATGTTGATTTACTTGTTAAATTCAGTATTATTCTTAAATTCTGGGTTTCACATCATAGATACGAATCCTTTAACTTGAATTAAATTAAATCTTTCCTATTTTGCTGTTTTCCCTTCATATTGTTATCTCAAGATGAATTATTGCAGATGAATACTAGGTTGTATTATATAGAAGTACTGTAATTGTGTCCATTTTTTTCTTTAAATGTTTCTTGCTATTTCTATGATTTAAAATTTATTACATCCTAAAAAATTCATCATAAATAGAAAATACTGTAAGTCAAAATGCATTTAATACCCTGATAAACCCATCATAAAGTTAAAAAAAAAAAAACTTTTTCTTTCTTTCTTTTTGAGACAGAGCCTCAAGCTGTTGCCCTGGGTAGAATAATGTGGCATCACAGCTCACAGCAACCTCCAACTCTTGGGCTCAAGCGAGTCTCCTGCCACCACCTCCCAAGTAGCTGGGATTATAGGTGCCCGCCACAACACCTGGCTATTTTTTTTTTGGTTGCAGCCGTCATTATTGTTTGTCGGGCCCAGGTTGGATCTGAACCCACCAGCTCAGGTGTATGGGCTAGCACCTTAGCCATTTGAGCCACAGGCGCCGAGCCAGTCAAAAAAATCTTAAGTTGAAATTACTGTAACCATCTGTGCATTATTCCACTTATACCAAATTATGCTTCTTAATAAATACATATTTACTGGGTTCTCTTAAGTACCTGATACAACAAGAAATAAGCAAATTTAAGATCTCTGTCCCCAAATGAGAAAATAGCCTTCCTCAGCTTTATTTCTACTTTGAGAATGGTAGAACATAATTTCATTTTATACTTTACATGTCTGTCTACCACAGTGCTCAGAGGTAATAAATTCTTGATCTCATGTGTTTCCACAGTTCAATGACAACTAGCTTAGGAACCCAATAATTATGTAAGGGCTTTGTAAGGATCCAGACCTAAGCTGCAAAGTTTGCATATATAGAGAGAGATACAGTGGAACAGAAGACAGCTTTAAGGGATGCCATCTATGTATGAAACAAATCTGAAGCTATGAAACTATCTCTAGTTAGGGACCTTAGACTGATTCCACAAGAAGTATGTTCAAGCCTGTTGCCCGTAGCTTAGTGCTTAGGGTGCTGGCCACGTACACGGGGGCTGGCAGGTTCAAACTCTGCCAGGGCCTGCTAAACAATGACAACTACAACAACAACAACAACAACAACAAAATAGCTGGTGTTGTGGACGATGCCTGTAGTCCCTGCTACTTGGGAGGCTGAGGCAAGAGAATCGCTTAAGCCCAAGAGTTGGAGGTTGTCGTGAGCTGTGACACCACAGCACTCTACCAAGGGTGACACAGTGAGACTCTGTCTCAGAAAAAAAAAAAAAAGACAATATGTTTATAACCATGAACATATATTTTGCTAGCTGTATTAAATTTCTCCCAGCAGTTAAGACTGGTGGAAATTAATTCATCTGTGAAATGACTAATACTTAGTCAAAACCACCTTTCAAAAAAATTTCAATTTCCAAATGACTTTGGATTTTGGGGAGAAAGTTTTGTTTCTAACTTTACTTTTTTAACTTGAAAGAAGAAAATCTTATATATTTAATCTGCCTGTTTAAGAAAATTATAAAATACTGTATTTTTATAAACTACTCATTTTATGCACAGGAAAAGGAATATTCTTCACCTGTAAGGGGTGGGATATCACGATTAACTGTTTCTTCTGCTTCTTCTAAACCATTATTTATTGATGGCCTCACTTGAACTGCTTGATTTGAGTAAGCTGCTCCATTAGTTGATGTAGTAGTACTGGTAGTGATCTCATCCACCTGTTCCATATCAAGTTGTTTTACTATTTCTTCAGCTTCCACAGCCTGCCCTGGAGAATCTGATCCTGATGTTCCTGAAATCATGATTTGGTATATTCACTATCATCACTTAAAAATGCAAATATTTAGGAAAACTAAATGCAATATCACTGTACCATTTATATAGTAACTGGTAATTCATATAAAGCTGAGGACATCGTTTGTTAGAGGAACTTTTTCTACACATTTCAAACAATGAGGAATAAAGAATATTAAGAGGCTAGAGTAATATTTGTGAGCAGTTTATTAAGTTTTCACACAATTTAGAAACACCCATTTACAGTCAAAGAAAACTACAACAGAATTTTTCTTTTACATCATATATTATTTCTTAAGTATGTATAGGTTAGGCATTTTATGTAAGTTCATTATCCTCATAAACAGTTCCCAATCTTTCCATCGCAAATGCTAAGCATCCCAGCCATATGGGAAACTGTAATTTTTCTTTCTTTCTTTTTTTTTTTTTTGAGACGGAGCCTCAAGCTATCCCCCTGGGCAGAGTGCCATGGCCTCACAGCTCACAGCAACCTCCAACTCCTGGGCTCAAGC